TGAGAGCGTGGCTTGATCCTACAGTTTTTCCAGATCTTCTGAAACTAGACACGTAAGCTGCGAAAGATATTGGTTAGGTTTCTCAGAGAAATAATTTATCCAAAAATATATTTATATATGTAAGACTTGAGGTTCTCACAGCGGTGAGTATGAAGATTTCCGTCTTCATATTTATATATGTTATAAAACTTAACTTGGGACGTGATTGTTTACAAAGTCCTCTAACTGGATTGAACGATCGTGAGTAATTGAATAATTCCTTTTTACGTCCTTTATAGGCGAGATAGTGGGAATGAGAAGCAGCACAGGATATTTGACCTTATTGAATTTGGTAACTCTAAGGATGAAGATGAGTTAGAGTCAAGTTATGGCAATGAGATGGAAGTGTCGGAGTCAAATGGAGCTGTGTTATCTTCTGAATCTGCCAACATTACAGAAGAGAATGAGCGATTGAAGAGATTAAGCGAGCAAATGAAGCGTTCTTGATTGTTTACAAAGTCCTCTAACTGGATTGAACGATCGTGAGTAATTGAATAATTCCTTTTTACGTCCTTTATAGGCCGGATAGTGGGAATGAGAAGCAGCACAGGATATTTGACCTTATTGAATTTGGTAACTCTAAGGATGAAGATGCGTTAGAGTCAAGTTATGGCAATGAGATGGAAGTGTCGGAGTCAAATGGACTTCTGAATCTGCCAACGTTACAGAAGAGAATGAGCGATTGAAGAAATTAAGCGAGCGAGAGAAGCGTTCTGAAGAAAGTGAGACGGATGTTAACCGCAGTCATGCAAAAGATTCTGTTCCGACAAAGGCAGACCTGATTTCCGCTGTTGAGGATGTAGGAGGTAAGTGGTTTGTTGTCTGTGAGACAGACTTTTTTTCCTTCCTCACATTTTTAGCATGTGCGTTCCTTTTCCCTTTCTCGAGCTCATCTATCAGTCTTCCTTTTTTCCAGCAGTTTTTCTCTGTGTTTGCTTCTTAGATTCTCTCTTTTGTTCCATTCTTCTTTCCTACTTTTATTTATTTCCACATGCACTGCCCTAATAAAAATATTTAGACCCAAGATAACGTATGAATTAGATCATGGAACAAAGGAAATTATACGAGATACACCCTAATAAAAATATTTAGACCCAAGATGACGTATGAATTAGATCCTGGAACGAAGGAAATTATACGAGATACGCTTTGCATTTTATTCAGCGCACCGAGTGTTTGTTAGGATCGTGTTATCAGGAGTTACGTTGGCCGGATGTGACACTGAGATGAAGGAAGTCTATAAAGAATTTTGGTATGAAAGTCTCTTGGAAAATCAAGAAGGAGACATAGAGAAATAGGGTTTTTGAAATGTGAAGTAGATTGAACTGTCTCAGGATCATTTCCAGTGTCATGCTTCGATATTAGCAGTGTCGAATCTTCAGATTTATTACCAGAGAGTTAATTAATCTCAGCTGTCGTGTGCATCCTGCCACGACCACTAATTGGTAATAAACTTCATAATATCTGTGTAAAGAATCTTGCCAACTTTCTGGAACGTAATTAATGTGTTCATTTGTGGTTTATTTAATTACGTAATTAGACTGCGTCATATTGAATTATAAGGCGATGAACGAATTGGAATGGATACGAAAGGATACGGACATGGCTTAATTTAAAATATTAATCTGGCATTTGCCTGTCCATTTACCTGCTTTAAATTTGGTTCTGAGGATTCCCTTTGCCGCTACGCTGAGAAAGATGGAAGGCAACGATTTGGTGTGCGTTCGGGTCACTAACAAATCACAATCCAGTCTTTTCCTTATTCACAACCTATTTATTCAAATTTTTAGATTTTTCTAGATATTTTGAGGGTTGTAATTGTAGTAGCTGCCTGTTGTTGAATATAGTTTAAACAAATGATGTCGCTGAAGCCGAAGAACCAGGACTACATCTAAATTTTGTTTACAGAACCAGTGCCTTCATTCATTTTGAACCCTCGTATGTTACCCACTAGACCACGCTCTGTTCAAAAACTAGTAAAGCCAAAGAATAAAGATAGAAGTGCGGAGCGTTCCGAATCGTCGTCCGATCAGCAGATCGAGTGTATCGAAACAGCTCTTGATTTGAGCAAATTTCTAAGCAAAGAAGACAAATTGCGGAAGAAAAGCAGTGGCGGATCACTTACGAGCAGACTGGATAAACTGCAGTGGCATATGTTGCGCAAAACTTTGTGTGGACTTGTACGTAAACTGGACTCAAAAAGTGTGGTGAAAGGAAGTGATAAGTACGAGAACATTATGAAAAGAGCCAGGGAAGAGATTTTGTTGAGAATTCAGTGATAGGAAATGTGTAACATTTGACTGAGCATCTTTACTATCGCTAAATAATCGCAGAGTTACGCAGTTCTCTTAAATATATTGTCTTTAATTATAAATAAATTCCTTTGTTGTGATTAGAAGACTCGGAATTAATACTCGGCCATTTAAAAATAATACTGATATTTTAAAAGTCTGAGTTTATGGAAATAATTGACTAAAGAAAATCTGAGAATGCTCTTAGACTTCACTGAAATTTTCAAAATTATGTTTGTCGCAGTACGATGTCTTCATAGGTTATCAACATGTGGCCAGCTTAACTAATGGAGGCACAGAATTAAGGACCTGAAGAAATTAGTGGCCAGCTTAACTAATGGAGGCACAGGATTGAGGACTTGAAGAAATTTATGTTTGGACGTTAAGGTCTCCTTTCAAATGCCATTCAAAGCTAATGCGGTTATGGGTGCAGTCACAGTGTTCTTAAGGGTTTGTGTGTCTCGCAAGGAAGAAACTGGATGGTGTGTGATTAGGATTTCCAGGGAGCTGCATAATTAGACTACATTTGCTAGTTTAATTTCTGAATAT